AAGCTCGAGAAGAATAGCCGCGAGGCGGGTTTCTACAGGCACCTGAAGATGATCGACGTCGAAGGCAAGAGNAAAGATTAAGCGGCCCAGCAGCAACTGCGTGGGGCCTCAAAGAACAGCGCCTTCGAGGCGACCCTGAAGGCGATGCTCAAGACGGTGCGGAGGAAGCGCAGCATCGCGAGGTGGAGAACACTGGAAACGGTCTTCGAGGGCTATGTACGGAAGCTCGAGAAGAATAGCCGCCAGGCGGGTTTCTACAGGCACCTGAAGATGATCGACGTCGAAGGCAAGAGGTTGTTCACCTCTCAGAATATCAAGGATGTTGACGGCAAGGTCCTTCGGGACCCCACGTTTAGTCGCCAACGGTGGGCGCGGTGGTTCCATAAGCTTCTCAACACCAAGACGCCGACCATCGACCTGCATGAGGCTGACAAGGTCAAGCAGTGGCCCACGTGCATGCCACTCGACGACATCCCATCTCTACTCGAGGTTGAGGAAGCGGTACGTGAAATGGCCAATAGAAGAGCCGTCGGGCCGGAGGACCTACGGGCTGAGCTAATCAAGATTTTCCTGGACGGAGATCAACGTCTTCTTCGCGAATTCCACGCCATCGTCGTGGACGTGTGGCAGACGGGNGAGTCCGAACGGACGACGGGCAGTACTCGGAATGGTTCGACGTGGGCCAAGGCCTCCGACAGGGATGCAACTTGGCCCCGCTGCTGTTCAACTTGTTATTTTCCGCGATGCTCATGGTCACTGTAGCCGAGTTCGACAAGGACTCCAAGGTGACGGCGGACATGGTCAAGATCGNATGCTCTACGCTGACGACGCGGCCATCGTCTCGCTCACGCCGGAGAGCCTCGAAAAGATGATGTCCATCATCGTGCGCGTGGCCGGCCTGTTCGGACTGATGGTATCGGAGCCAAAGACGGAGATCATGTGCATGCTGCCGAAAGGGATCGAGGAACGCCCGTTTACGGTCAGCGCCGCCGGCCAGACTTACAAGCAGACAGATCAGTTTGTGTACCTCGGACGTACCATCTGCGCGGATGGGTAGGCCGACCGGGAGATCACGAGCCGCAGCTGCCGGGCGTGGAAGTGCCACCGCCGGAACAGTGCTGCGATGTACGACAGGCGACGGGCCGACCGCCAGCTCAAGATCCGGCTACTNCCATCTCTACTCGAGGTTGAGGAAGCGGTACGTGAAATGGCCAATAGAAGAGCCGTCGGGCCGGAGGACCTACGGGCTGAGCTAATCAAGATTTTCCTGGACGGAGATCAACGTCTTCTTCGCGAATTCCACGCCATCGTCGTGGACGTGTGGCAGACGGGGGACATACCACAGCAGTGGAAGGATGCCACCATCAAAGTGCTGTTCAAGAAGGGGGACACCATGGAGTGCGGAAACTTCCGGGGCATCTCTCTCGTCGTACATACCGGCAAGGTACTGCTTAAGGTCGTCGCTACACGACAGAGCCACTACTACGAGCGAGAGGGCGTCCTCCCGGAGGAGCAGAGCGGTTTCCGCCCACACCGGTCGACGCTCGACATGCTGTTCGCCATCCAGCGGCTCCATGAGCTCGCGAGGAAGAAGAGTACTGCGGTGTTCGCGTGCTTCGTCGACCTCACCAAGGCATACGATTCGGTAGACCGAGACCTATTGTGGGACGTGCTCCGACGCTTCGGCGTGCCCCCGAAGATGCTGGCGGTCATTCGCCACTTCCACGAGGGCATGAGGGCGCGGGTTCGAACGGACGACGGGCAGTACTCGGAATGGTTCGACGTGGGCCAAGGCCTCCGACAGGGATGCAACCTGGCCCCGCTGCTGTTCAACTTGTTCTTTGCCGCGATGCTCATGGTCGCCGTGGCCGAGTTCGACAAGGACCCCAAGGTGACGGCGGACATGGTCAAGATCGGGACACAAGTGGAGTACACGGGCAAGAAGGGCAGGTCGGCGGGGAAGAAGACGACGGTGGTGACGGACGCGGAGGCCTTGTGGGCCATGCTCTACGCTGACGACGCGGCCATCGTCTCGCGCTCGCCGGAGAGTCTCGAGAAGATGATGTCGGTCATCGTGCGCGTGGCCGGCCTGTTCGGACTGATGGTATCGGAGCCAAAGACGGAGATCATGTGCATGCTGCCGAAAGGGATCGAGGAACGCCCGTTTACGGTCAGCGCCGCCGGCCAGACTTACAAGCAGACAGATCAGTTTGTGTACCTCGGACGTACCATCTGCGCGGATGGGTAGGCCGACCGGGAGATCACGAGCCGCAGCTGCCGGGCGTGGAAGTGCCACCGCCGGAACAGTGCTGCGATGTACGACAGGCGACGGGCCGACCGCCAGCTCAAGATCCGGCTACTCCAGGCTGAAGAGGTGGAGACTCTCCTGTATGGGTGCGCCTCGTGGAGTCTAACAGCGGAGCACTACACGAAGCTCAATGGGACCCACCGCCAGTTCCTGACACGGTGCATCAGCTGGAGCAAGCGGAAACGCTCAGACCGCCCCCTGTCCTAGCAACTATGGCAACTCTCGCACAGGGCAAAGACCCGCTGTTGCTGATGGTCGGCATCGCCGAAATGCGTGAACCGCGCGGTGTTTCCTTTGGGTTCTAGCAAGGCGTACCATCTGTGACGCGGAAGGCGTCCGCGTCAGTTGGACCAGACGGATATGTGAAGGTACAAGAGTATTGTTGTGAATGCAAGATTGCGTATTTTCACTTCGGTTTTCGGTTAGCGTGGAGATCGGTCTAGGAGTAGGTTCTTCGGCCAGCTGCCCCGTTTTTCTACAAAGGATAGCACAATATTGGATTGCACAAGAAGTGGTCTAACTCTAACACCACCGGTATTTTTTTTTATTCCATCCCTAGGACCACTGCAGCGGTCGCTGCGCAATCAGCAGCAGCAAAGGCAGAGGTCGGAGCAGCAGTGGCGGCCAAAGCGGCAGCACCAGCGTTAGAATCAGCTACCAACCCGCCGATCGTGACGGACAGAATCTGTCCCTTCCCTTGACTGGCTCGTTTGTGACCCTCAACGCTTTGTGCACTAGCGTGCTATGCCGTTATTTTTTCCACCGAATTTTCCGGATAGCGATTTTCTTGGTGCAGGTCGCTGGAGTGTGTGATGACTACGAGCAGGATAATGTAGTACATCCTAGATTAGGGTGGAGTCTAGAGTTTACATCTGCAGTAAGCTGGTGCGTACCCGCGCGCAGTTCTGCACTAATACAAAGCAAACCCTGCACCTGTCAAACCACAGGTGCGCACAGCGAAGGGAAAGTTCGGACACTGGACACTGACTCGCACCAGTGTGCAGGAGTGTACAGCAGCATAGCAGTAGAGCTGTGCACGCATCGTCATTCGCCGTGGTGGTGGTGTGTGGAGCAGGTTGTGTGGGCTCTCACCTCCAAGTCTACTCCACCTGCTGCTGTGCTGCAGCAGTGCTGTTGCTGTTTGTCGTTCAACACACGCCCACGAAACGCATGCCACACCAGGACATACATGCAACGGCGGCACGGATTGTGTGACATCAACGAAGTTGACAATGATGCATTCCTTGCTGGAGGCTGGCGCGGATCCGGCGGTCGAAAATGAGCTCGGTGGCTCTGCCATTTACTTGGCAGCGGGCCGATACGACGCCCAGGTTGTCGCACTGCTTCCTTCCAAGGCACCATCGATACTGAACAATGCCAGTCACAATGGTTGGACACCTCTTGCAGCAGCTGCGGAAAAGGGTAACGAGAGCACAATGCCTCTCCTGTTTTCTCAGGGGGCAAGTGATTCGTTCCTATGGGCGACGACTGGAATCACCGCTCTTCATAGGGCCCAAATTGTTGGCATGGGAACCTCGGTGCGGATCTTGCTCGATAAAGGATTGGATGCCGTTGGTGGATTACCAGGTATCGCTGAAGCGATACGCATTTCGGTGTGGTTTGGGTGCATTGATGGTTTGGAATGCTGCTGAACGTGCAAGGGGAAAAGAAACAAGAGTTTTGGGCGAAACATTAGTCTTCGGTGTGCAAGCCGATTCTCTTCTGGGCGGCGTTCCTTTCTCTACCACGGCATTCCAGTTCGAGTGGTACCCAATTCTTCATTATGCTGCCAAGCATTGCCCTATCCCTGCCCTTCATGTTCTTCTCTCCGCTGGCGCAATAACCGAAACATGCGACCTTCAAGGCAGGCTTGCGGTCGACCACATCGGATCTCTTGTGCCCGATGACAAGAGGAACGGAAGCATGGAGTCGGTCGCTCGAAGAATACTGCGGAAGGGACCGGCGTTACGCGCTCGATCATGGACATGGCCCGGTGCGGTGGATGCTACTCTCGGCGGAGCTTCGAAAGTGCCTCCATCGTCTTCAACTCTAGTGCTGAAGACACGCATCCATGTAGGGGGCAGATGTTGAAGTCTGTGGACAACACGTGGACATCAGCAGTAGCTTCGACTGGTGAGGATGGGTAACATTCGGTGGCCATAGAGTCGTCGGCCGGCCAGATTGTAAGGAAGGCGACATCAAACCACTATTATATATTATAATAGACAAGAATAGTCTAAAAAATGGGTTGTTACTTCTGTAAATGTTAGTCGTGGGTTCGAGACCCAGGCTGCAGACTTTGAAGAGGTGTTTGCTGAGACCCTGGATACTCGCGCGGCCAGAGTATGGGTGGCGGAAAGACTCGTCTGAGACCCTAGAACATTCTGCTGCATGTGGCACCTGTAGGGACGAACGCCATTTGAAACGCCGCCTTTCATCAGGAAAACGTCACAAAATACTTGTCCCGTCGATCTTATTTCACAGGCACTCATCAATAGTGCCCTTGAACACGACGCATTCCACAGAAAGAAATGGATCAATTCTCTCACGTGTTGGGATCACGGACGTACTGCTAAAGCGAATGGATTCGGTGGTTGGAGTCCAACGAACCGGAACATCGAATGGCCCCCTCCCCTTAACCTGGCTTGTGATTGTTGTATGCTGTATAGACTATGTATTTATATTATAGGGAGAGAGACTGACGGGTGAGGGGGTACGGACATGCCGGCGAAAGGGAGGCGAGACGATGTTGATCGATAATTCGGTGGCTCAGTTCTTTGTGTTGGGAGTGTAGAGCAGCTGGGCCATGACGGGCCGTGGTAGGGTAGGGACGTGTTGGGAAACGTGTTGTATCCGTGTATTGTAGTAATCGGGGGCGTGCTCGTGCTCGTCAAACCATCACGGCATCAAGTCACGCATAACGCTCAAACACCCAAAAAGAATCTTCATGAATTTACACCAACCACACTCCCAAGCAAGGAAAACATAAAGAAACTTCTTGTTCCTCTGTAGTTCGTCACTGCAATACCCGCATATGTATACAGTAGTATACCACCCGCATGCTATGCTACGAGTATATCGAATAGCCCCCCTGCTCGTATGCATCGTCATGCTCCGGGAAAATATCATAGTCATCCTTCTCATGCCAGTTCATCCCAAAACACAATCAAAACCAAGAAAACGAAAATACTTCAGACACGACGAAAGTATCCACATAGCATACCAACACACGCTAATCACTCTCGCTCTCTTTTGAAAATTCTCAACTCAAACTCTTTTCATCCAGAAAAATATGACGAACGCCGTTCAAAGACGCCTTTCCTTTCACCGCCAATTCGTCACAATATCTCGGT